ATACTTACAAATTCCGGGTAGAAAAGTGGCTTTCTTAAGAAAAATTGTTCTGAAGGATTTCTAATTTACAGTATATGTTCTTTAAGGAGTGAGATAACTGCAAGGTAAACCATTCAGTTAAAATGGCACCCCCAAAATAAAATGTAGTTTCTTAAGGTGGAACCTTAGGTTTCGTTAAGGTGGGGTTTTCATGAGCCACAGCTGCCACACACACAGAAAAGCAAAGGTTCTGTACGGACAAGCCTGCATGGGCTTCTCCCTCCCTCTTCAAAGTCTGCAGGCTGGGAGTGTCATCTGAGGACAGTCTGCTTGTGCTCTGCATGCTTTATAACCCTCTGCGTTGACATGTGGTCTCCTGCTTCCCAACACCCTTTCCTATAGAAGTCTGCTTCCTCGTGCCGAGCTTGCAAACGTTCTGCCGATTTCCTTTTTCATTCATCCTACACAGCTTCTGGCTCGTAAAGCAGTGGGGCTTGTGTTGATATTTCTGCTTCCCTCCCAACACTCTTTGACTCCGCAGCCACGAAAAACACACCCTTTCATTCTGGTTCTTTAAGAAATACTGTTTGCACTGTCATAAAAGGTATGGAACAGCTTGGATTGGTCTATTAAAGCAGGCGTTTCTAGCTCTGGTCCTGCAGAGCCACAGTCCTCCCAAGTTTTAGAATTAGCTTGAAATGGAAAATGAGCAAAGATATACCGTAGAAAACCCACTTAAGAAGTAATTGATCTAATTAAGTCATTCAGAGTTACACTGTAATACCTGAGCTTTTTCCTGAAGGGGAGTAAGGTTGGACTCTCACATTAAACCAATAGAAGTATAATTCCTGTAGAAAGGAATTGCGTGCATAGGAATCATATTACATACAGTATCCTTTCAGTTTAATATGAGAATATGTAAGATTTCTGCATAGTTCCCCTCTCTCTTACAAGCAACAACTTTATTTTGTTTTTTTTTTCCAGAGAAAGCAGTTGCTATAACTTAGGGAAATGTGAATATGAATGATCTCTGTCCATTTCTCAACACCATGTGAAGATGTATTCATTTATTCAAAGTCTAGTTAGCAGCCCACAACTTTATCACAATGGCATAGCCAACTGACAGTGAAACAGCTGCATATACAGTGTGTATCTTGCAAGGAGCTCCTTTCACGCTTTTTATAGACTGTCTTCCAGAATCATAAAGATGTCAACAGCATCCACCCATTTTCTAACCCCTTCATCCAATTCAGGGTTCCAGGGGAGCCTATCTCAACAAGCAATGGGCACAAAATGGGGTTATACCCTGAATAGATAGAGCAAACAGGCAAACAGACACACATACTCACACCGGGGACGATTTTCCCAGAAGCCAGAACCTACCAGTATGCCTTTGTTCTGTGGGAGGAAACTGGAGCACCCGCAGGAGAACCCACAAACTCGACGCAGATAACGGTTACCACTGTGCCACCCATGTCAACAGCTTAGCTATCAAAATATTACCTTTCCCCACACAATGTAATCTTAAATAAACAAGGACTCTGCCGCGAGGATTATAGAAGTGTAGCTAGAACCTACAAAAAGCTGAAGATCCTGCTGTAAGGTTCAGTTTATTAGCATTATACTAAGACCAGGTGGCTGAAGCTGCATTCATGATGGTGTCTTAGCTCCAGGCTAGATTGTTTCACTCAATATTTGAATTCTTAATTTGAAAAGCAGAGACTTGCATGCATGCATTACGGTGTATTTAAGGTTGTTGCTCCTTGGTTGTGTGGTCCTTTTGACCAACTGATTGGATGCAGTGCTGCACATTAGAACCACTATATACTGTACTGTAGGCAGAGCAGAACTACAGTATAACTCGTAGTTTTGGAACAGCTGAGAATGAGAATGACTAAAGTTCTACTAACATTCATTCACCCTCGCAGTACGGTCACTCCAGCGACCTCTGTGGACCTTTCTTCTTTGGCTGGGGTTAAGTGGTATGTCCCTGAGGATAAGAAAGCAGAGGCACTATTTCATCTTTGATATGACACTGTACAAATGTGGTCAGACCTCAGATCTAATCTGCCACATCAGGCATGTCTCCAGATCGCCCAGTCCAAACTAGTGTATACAGTATACCGCTATACCCATAGGCCAGTTTTTACACATACGATTTTTGTTTGCATTGCTGCTTTGCAACGCCTAATTATTTGACACAAGGCCTGTTTTTTACACAAACCAATACGACTCTCTTTAATCTTCAATACATCGGCTGTGATGATGACACTGTCCCCGTTTTGTTCTTTTGAATTTGTGATGAAACAACAACACCGCTAGTTTCTGTATTAAATATTGAATTGTAGTTGCTTTTTTGCAGAAGAAAATGTAAAATATGGTCAAAAACAGTCAATTCCTTTTTGCATTATCTGCAGTATTCAAGAAAAGGGAAATTAATTCAGCTTTTCTTAAATCCATATTTCATAAAAATTACAATAAAACAATAAGAGCTTCACTGTGGAATAAAACACAAGAGGTGTATAATCTGAACAGGCCTTTATGATCTGCCAATGTAATAATTATCACTGTTGAAGAACCATGTTTTTCTCAGCATTTCTCAGTAGAAGGTACATTAAGCTACTCGTACAATTATAATTTTCTTATGAATGCCTCTAATGTATTTTCAGAGTTCTGATAGTTCAGCTTTAGTAGATGCAAAAAGACCAAATCATGGTTTGGAGGGAAGAAAAATGAACAAATTCATTCTCACCTCTCCTGGTTGCTGGAACTTTATGTTTATGGATCCTTCAAGAGGTGATTGTGACCTCAGGGTGAACTGACAACCAGCAACCAAACTAACACAATGGGCTAGAAGCCCTTCTCGTTTTTAAACTTATTTTCTTTAACCTGTGTTGATGTGATATGTATCAAATATAAAGTCAATATTTGTTTAATTTTTTTTTTTGCTACTTAAACATTCACACAAAGTTATCTGGACTTTAGAAACGTAGTTTGCCAACTGATAAAAAAGTGTAGCAGTTCTTAAAAAAAACAGTAGGGGGGAGTATTGAGCATTTTTCTCACATGCTAGAGATGAACGGCAGAGACTTGCAGGCAGGTTGTGAAACACAAGCCTGAGAAACGTAAATGTTAGCTACAAAGAAAAATATGAGTCTCTAATGCACACTTATTTTAAGTGTATAAATTACAAATCACCGTATCTCAGATAGAAGCGTGAAGTGTTTGGTCGTTGTGTTTCAACACTACAAAACTACTATGAGCTCTAATTTTCATTAGCTCAAGGGAGATTCATGTACAGGTAATAACTTGGAGAAACTGCATTAAAGCAAATCAGGATATCAAGTATATAGTAATGTGCAGTAATGTAAAGTAACAGTACAGACCATCCTTTTAAATGTTCCTCTTCAGTACTACAATTGTGTAAATTGATGACCACACCACTTTCAGCTCTTCGGAACTTTCATTCAAAAAAAAAGTTTTTTTGCATAAAGACCAAAACAAGGAAGTTATGACTAAAATTGTATCCTTTCCTTGGATTCTTGGCATGGCTCAGAATGGAAGGGGAAGATTCCGCAGAGGAACCATAAAACAGGAGCCTAAGACTACATCTGGCTGCAGCTCCAAGTGTTGTTTTTTATAGGCTCTGAAAAGAAAAAGAAAACCGATGTACGTTCATAGACCACCATTACTGCCAGTATGTACTGTCCTGGGTAAAGGGGTGTCTCTGAATATACTGTATAACAAAATGTGAGAGATTTTCTCCAGCTACAGTGCAGCTTTAAAAAAGCACATTCGCTCTGCAGATAGTGAGCGTTGTTTGGAATTGACAACGTCTCACTTCATGGTAGTTCTTCAGTTTCCTGTAGTATTTTTTCTTCTTTCCCACAAAACAGTGAAATAAAACATGGCTGTCATAACATCACTCTCCTTGCAGTATTTTCCTGACTGAAAATTTGAGGATGTGGTCATTATCAAGGATGTTTCAGTACTTCGTGATATGAAATCGTTAAATCATTTAAATCAGCTGTCTCTTTATGAGAACCCACTTTTATCAGTTTCACGTTGTACCTTAGTGTTATGTGAAGCCTTGATTCTTAAGATGCTATATTTATTACAAGAACTGCCAAATTTAATTAGGCTAGATGACAAGCAAAAACAACCTTGTATTCTAGAAGGGAACTACCTTGCTTTTACACAGAATTCCATATGTAACAGGCGAACCTTTTGAAACACTGCTAGTTGTTAGAACTGACCCCCAATTCCTGCCATCTGTATAGATGAAGCCCCTATTAAATGAAACGTATCCTGGCTGTGTTTGCTTTAAGAAAAATCTTTGTTCTCATACTTTCTGTGTTGTACAGTAAATAATTTATCATCCTCTTTTTGTTGATTGAGAAAGGAGAAATTCTTAAGGAAATTACACACATATGATGAAATCACGGATGGTTGTGGTGTTAATGTCATTAGTATGCGTAATGTTGTTCTTCAGAAAGATGAACTGGGGACTATTTAAGGTCACGATTTCAAAGATTGTGAGGCTTGCCATGCAAGTACCTAATTTCTGATGTATTTGATTGACAGAAATTTGTCAGCAACATCACTGTTTAGGAAATACTTGATGGTAACAGAATATTAAGGAATTCTGGTTCCCTACCAAAGCAACAATGCTAGAATGTCTTATGTGTATTCTCTCAGGCCCAAAGCTTATCACATTTGAAAGACCCTGCCCCTAATTCTAACCCTGACTCTTTGATAGAAGTCATCAACATCAGGAGTCAGAGTACAGAATGTATTCAATTCGTATTCTTCTAATATTCAGTTCAATATCCATTTGTAGCCACTTCTGTAAAGTGGGATTACACAATCAAAATAACCTTTTCAAGTTGCATTTTGTTTTCTAGAAACATGTGATGCAAGTAGGTGAAATAATGCATCTCCTCTTGCCTCTTGAAATGTAAGGCTTTATTGTAAATATACAAGCTCCAGACAATCCGTAGTATTTTGCTGTTTTAAAGAAACTGTTATTTAGGACTACTGTCTGTGATCAGCGATCTCTGTATCTACAGCATACCGTTAATATTATTTGTTCAATATCAGTAGAAGCCGAGCTGTGAAATTGGAAAATGAATGCTGGCTTTCTGTGTGCCTTTCATTGTCTAATATACAGCTGCTCAGGACTTGAAATGACGATTCCCTATAGTGGGCAAGAGTCTAACTACTGTACCTCTCTTGGGAGATGCTGACAGTGCTAGTCCTCACTTCACTTTGAAATGAGCCGGGACAAATGTCAAAGCTACTTATCATAATATGGGTATGATCCACCACCACCAGTGCAGCCCCACCTGGATGATGCGACGGCAGACATAGTGCGCCAGAACGCTCACCACACATCAGTGGGAAGGAGAGCAGAGTAATGAAGCCACTTCATAGAGTAAGTACTCTATACCGTAAAAAAAACTATTCATACTGTAAGACAGTAAAACAGAAAAAAACTATTTTTCCAGCAAGCTCTTTAGCAAACCCCAGTCCCCAGGATACTGTATCTCTTAGTTTATGTAGTAGCTGAGCTTTTAATTACTTTGACTAATTGATTCCTTAACTGAACAGTTTCTTAATTAGATCTAGACCCTGTTTGGGCTATTTTCTGCACTCAGTCATGTGTTTCAGAAATACCCTGCTAGTTGTCAAGATATTTAGCAAGCATCATGTGCACAACATTTTCCAGAAACTGCTCTTCTTCTTCACCTCACTAAACATCTAAGCAGTGATTTTAGTGACATAAGGGAATTGTGTAGTACCATGAATTCCCATGGCAAACATTAATTTAGGCCAGAATTTAAAATAAATTGAACTCACTTGTCAGTCCCAAATAAAAACTCTACTTGATATTGTGCCACAGGAGCTCCTACTGTATTTCCTCTAACAGGGAACTTGCCGTTAGATATTCTGGTTGGTTAGTGGTGATGGGTTTGAGATTTTAACTTTTGAATATAATTGGGCTTTAGTGTCACTTGATCTCAGTGACTTAAATTCCAGAGGCCCGTTCAGTTAATAGAAACCCCCACAGAAAAAAGGGGGTTCTGAAAACTAGATTCTGGAGATATCACCAGGATCTAAAAAGATGAACAACACTTTCCAGTACATTATTGATCTATTGAGCAGGGCATTTGTCTAAAGGGACTCTAGTCCTCAAGGACTGAGTTTTTTTGTTTCCAAATGATTTCTAAATTGAGCAGATTCCATCTTTTCAGTCATCAGTTACGTCCCATGTCGATGCCATGCTGACATGTAAGACTGGATGGGTAGCAACTCTCCAAGAACAAGGCTGGAGACCCTGAAGGACCAGCAAAGCTTACACATCACAGTCCCGATTAATGACTTTCTTGACTAATTTACAATGGCTGCTTTATCAAAATTAAAATGAGGATTCAACTGAGAATCCATCATAAAAAAAGACCAATAGAGAAACCTCAGACAGCAGTGCTGGGTAAATTTTAAGTGCTGAAAGCAGTTAAAAACATTTAAACAGTCAAACCTTCAGCTAAAGGGTTACATTAATTAAGTCAGATAAAAACTCCAAACTCCTTTCAGTAAAAAGTGTATGTGAAATCCGACAGCAAAGATACCTGAACCTGCAGCTGAAATGTCATACAACTTTCCAATAGAGTAGGGGCCAGCTTTTATTTTTTTACCTACAGTATATTAATGATGTAAATCCTGACAACAGCTCTTCCCCAGGTTGGCTGTGTATTTAATCAGTTCACAGGAGTTTCATAGGCGGTTTTACTGGAAGATGCTGCTATCGTAGATGTTAGCATTGAACTTGATGATGGTCAACTGTTAAGAGTGATCTGCCTTTGGGGGAAATTTGGTTTCTGATTTTTCTTCTACTCAAGTGTGGGCCTGCTGGACACTGGAGTCAGTTTTCAACAGTATTGTTCTTGAAGGAAACTCTTTTTCAGGGTCTAAGGTAATAGATCTCAGTCCCATGTCCCTTTCTTCTCATATGGCTTCAAAATTGATTAATGGAATTAAAAATACCAGTCAGACATAGTGTTTGACTTGAACAGTACAGCAGTTTTGGAGGTGCCTGTGGACCAATGTATTTTCCAAGAACAGCTCTTAGCCACAGGCCACAAGAAAAATGTGCAATTTTACTTTTTAAAATTTTACAGTTAGAGGCACTGTAACTTTAAGATTATGACCCAAAGCATAGCTTTGCTCAAGTGTTATTTAGAAATTAAATATATGATTTTATTGTCACAATCAGGATTTTCAATTGTCCATTTTGCTTTTTCGAGACTACTCACCTGATGGCTGGTGTTTGTTTGTTGTTTCTTTTAAAGACTAACAATTTGGAATCGGTCAGTTATGAAAATCCGGAAATATTGACACAGTAGAACGAAAACAAACATATACACAACATATAAACATGTTCTTCTTTTGTAGTTTAGCCAGGAGGAGAAAATGTTTTAAAGCTATCTTTATGTTTGGAGTGCAAACAAAACCTATGCGCTCGATGTATTTTAGAAGAAAAATAATCTGGCTGTAATGATGTTTATCATGAACATAGTATCCTTGACTAACCACCTTTTTTAACCGATGGCATTTGTCTACGCAGCACCTAGTTAGGCGTGACTTGTCACATTTCAATGTTACTTTTTTCATGCGCTGAAAGGAGTCACTTGGTTAGGAGTTAATACATATTGTGACTTCATGCAGATCACAGCGTTGAATGAAGTACTGTAGCAGTGTGGTTTCTGGGCTTCTGGGCGCCTTACTAGAAGGTAGCGAGTTGAAATCCCGGGCAAGCCAGCAGCTCCTGTTCGACTGCACTAAGGTGCCAGGGCTTCGCTCGGGATAAAAGGTAACACCACCTGCATGCACCACGACCGCTTTCCCCGAACGAGACCGTAAACTTCATCTTGGCGTCTACGAAACTGTGAGAAACCACAGCTGTCCACAGAAAACAAAACGTGGTGGTGGGGGGGAACAACACGACAAAAACGTCCGGCGGCGAAGGAGTTAAAGCTCTCCGTAACTCCGTGTGGTGTGGGTATGCCTTAATCCGCGACTCCTGGCTTCGTGCCAGAGAGCGGCTTCGCCTCCATCCCCTCCTCGCATAGTGAAGGATCCTGGAGCTATTGCAGAGGCGGCCAACTGCTCCATATTTGGCTTCTATTACACATTCACAGAGCGAGCGAGCGAGAGAGAGAGGTGGGAACAGCGAGCGACACAGAGAGAGCTAGCCTCGCTTTGCTGCAGACATCCTTCTAGTAGTGGAGAGGAGACGGACCCGCCGTCACTGCAGGAAAACAGCCCTGGCAACAAGGAAAGGCATTGCCCTCCTCAGACCATTACACCGTACAGTAAGTCCCGGCGATTTATTTAGCGTGATGTCTTGCCTCGGGAGCCCCCGGCTCCGTCGCCGCTTCTCCTCCCCAAAGAAGTGAGGAAAATGGCTCTGAGGAACTAGGAAGGGAGACGCGATGGATCACAGTTGGCGTTGTTTTCTCTCTCTCTCTCCCCCCCCCACCTTCTTAAAAAAAAACACCAACACCACCACCACCACCACCACCACCAGAAAGGAGGTATAACTTCTTACGCAGAGGAAAGGGTCTGGGAAAAATTTCGCCCCGGGCGTCCTTGGACGTGCACTGCGAGGCGTGCGCCCGTTCGCTGCGCTGCGCACCAGGCGGCGGTGCGGCGGATGTTGCGAGGCGCGGTAGCCGAGGAGAAGCGCACTGAGCTGGGGCTGCTGTCGGACCAACTCTCGCGTCTCGCTGCGTCACTCCACTTCCTCTAGCGGGCTCAGGACGCATTACAGAAAGCACTTCCTAATCGATGTGTCCATAGTGTGTGTGTGTGTAGTAGTACAGTAATCCACGAGATAAGCGTGTTGTTTCTAGTTTTATGAAGCGGGGTTTTTTTTTTATTATTGCTGGGCAGCTCTTTCCAAGGACAGGCGTGTGGGTGCGTTGCGTAAATGCAACACTCTTCTGGGTTGAAAGAAATGTAACTCTTTTTAATAACCCTGTTACCTGGAAATGTTACAGTAGCTGCTTCTAAAGAAAAACAGTCCACAATTATGAGCTTCATCATCCCTGCATTACGATTTTTTCTTAAGGGTAGTCTTATGCGTTATATTATTTGGTCCATGCCCAGAAATGTATATTAGTTTAACACCACTATGCCTTTTGTATCGAGGTTATAGTAAGTGTAACATTAAAGAAAACAAACATACACATATTTAGAAAATACATGCCGATTCACTATGACGTTTCTTAAATACACCCAAACATAAATTAATTCGGTTTAAATGGATATTTTTTCCCCCGTTCCTTACGGATAGTGGTTGTTAAGTCTTGCCCGTGATGTCATGTAACCCAGCTAGATATATTGTTATATAATAGGCTGCTGGGATCTCAGCGTTTGCAGGCTATTTATACTTTGTTTACGGTAACGAAAGGCTGTGTGCATTAGGGAATCCTTTTAAACCGATGTGCTTTTGCAACTTCTGCTCGGGTACTTGCGGATTTGCACGCTACTTGCCTTAGCGTTGGTCTTTAGAGAGGGGGGAGACCGAGAAAAACCACCAATTTATCGCCGTGCTGCGATATATATTTTGTAGTAGACTAACGAGGCAGGTTCTCCTCCCTGGCATCTCGGTGTATTCACAATCTGACATTAACACGAACTGTCTGCATTCGCAAGTTTGTTTTCGTGACGCTATTGTACTGCTTCGACGTTACCAGCACTGGTGGAGGTTTGTGAAGTCGCAAAGTTGAGGTCCGTCTACATTTTTAGGCGAGCAGCTCTTGTTCGACGTTGAGATTTTTGAAAAGGTGAAAATAATGTCTGCAGAACTGGGATATACAGTACGTGTGTGGGGGGAAAAAAAAGGGGGCCAGGGCTCTCGGTATCCTAGCTCTGGCTGTGACTGACAGTGAGCTCTTCCGATGCTTTTATCAGGAGCAAATTAAACTTCCCCCATAGTGAAACATTGCCAGCCGCGCTCTGCACTGAATGGAAGGAGAGTATTAGAGAGGACTGTTGTAGACCGAGGCTGATGGCCTCACCGGAGCTTTGCTTCAGCGGCATGGAGATTTCCAGTCCACAGTGCAGACTGGCGGCGCTCTTACTTCAGCCGTGATCAATCAAGCAATTAGATCGGGCTGCTATGGCAACAGACAGTATTTATTCGCCCATTCAGGTGTGTTTGCCTTGTGCCGGGCTATGTTCTCCAGTTTCACGGGCACTGCATAGTAATCTTCGCTTGCCGCCAATCTCTTTAGTTAACCGCTTGAGGTTTAGTTTTGTGATTACAACACTGTTACTATAAGGCCACTGCTGCTGCAGATAATTCCAATTACGTTTAAATTAAGAGAATTATTCTTCGATCAGATTAAAAAATAACGTTCTTCTGATTAACCTTTACAGCATTTAGTTTATATCACAGTTGGGCATCACTGCACGGATTGCGAAATTGCGGATGAGGTTTTTTTATTTGTAAAATATGGAATCAAGGAGAAAGGTTTTCTAAGGGTAAAGACATTTTTCTGCTTGGGTTATTGCACAGTTTTATAAAGTGAAACGTTCTTTTTTGTCAAGGGGACAAAGCTGTGGTATAAGCTAGCATCTAACACATTTCTTGAAGGCTAAGGAATTTATCTAGTGTTGAAGTTCCTGAAACAATGCATGCACATTATTCAGGAGTACACCAGAGGAACTGCTGTCAGAACTCGGACCCACAACCTTGCAGTTACAAGCCCAGGGCCTTTGCCACAACTCCAAAGTGCTGTCTCCTGTACCCCTTTTTAGTGTTAACTGGGCACTCAATTACATATTACATTCAGTTAGGCCATTTAACAGTCGTGGTCTTGAGAAATGAAAGGAGTAAGTGAACAAACTTCATTTCATGAAATCTGCTCTGTCAAATCAGCGTTTCCTTACAAGTATTGCCTTTTCCCTAGCAAGCAAGTATATAAAGCATGGCTTCCTTTGATAAATAGTTCGCCGTCCTGATCGGTCACAGTAAAATACATTTCCATAGTGAACACGGTGGTAGATGGGACAAGTGTCAAGAGTCCAAATCGTTTTTCTTCCTTCCTGTAGTAGCTGGATAAAACTTTGAGGCTAAAAATGGCCTTTGAAAAGTCTCATCCATACAGTAATAGCCTGTCCTGGGGCTGAAATTACTTCTGTCATGTGCCAGTTTTGCAGTGGACGGGGTGTCAGGTTCTAGGGTCTAGCGTCTGCAGTCACTGGGTTAATACTGCGTTAGTTCAGGAATGGGGGGCAGTAAAGTACATGAGAGCTGAAACCCCCCTCTCTGTCTTGGGTCAGGACGAGGGCATCACCAGTTTAGCAGTACGGCTGAATATACAGGGAGTGATCTTTATCCCAGCAAAGTCGTGATGCATCAGGAGCAGAAAAGTAAGAAGCCCACACCCCTTCAATGCATGATGAGTGTCAGGTTTCCTTCAGAGTGACTGACAGGTGCCAGACTAACAATCTTTCTCGTCTTTGGTTTTAAAAAAAAAAAAATAGCGGGACGCACCTCAGCCTCAGGTTACAAGCTTTCAGATTTGAACCCGAGCTAGTCAGGAGACCTGATAGCACTGGGGGCCTGCACCGGTTCTTTGAAATACATTGAGAATAAAAATCGTGGAGGTGCATATTGTTGTAATGTGTTTGGAACCACTTAACACACACGGCTTGAAGAGGGTGACCTTGATTAAGTATTCTGATAAAAGTTAAAAATCTCTGAAAGAATTCAGTCCTTTTTGGGCATGGAAAAAATATACACTGAAAAAGGTTTTACTGTTTTCTTTGGAGAGGGGCGGTGTTTTCCCTGAGATCTTTATTCTGGTTTTAATAAAGAAATAGGCAACGACAGGAGCAGCAGTAGTTTTGATACTATATTGTCTTGAGGTCTGCTAGCAAATTATTTTAAACGAAATATTCTAATTGAAGATATAAGGTGTTCCAGCAATGGAATTAAGGATCGATTCTTTGCTCATGTTTTGTGAAAGCATGTTTGTATACATATTAACAGGCATGTCCACTTTGCACTTAGGAATTAGTGCAAGGAAGGAAGTCAAGCTGCTGTTTAATAAAGTGGTAATTCTCTTGATACTCTTTAACTCCTTCAGGGAAGGCAACGTCAAGTACAGCAGTAGAGTATCAAGTCTACAGCACTTTGACAAGCTACTGCACTGCCTGTGCTTTGAGCACTGGTGAATGGGAATTCCTTCTCGCAGATCTGACGCTTAAGTTCAGACCCAGAAGGAGGTCTCATTCATGTAAGAAAATCACGGCAAGCCATTGTCTTTTTTTTTTAATAAGAAAGCTGGCAGAATACACCTCTGTGTTTGTCTCAGGGGGTGGAGGAGAAGAGATGAAAAGTTTGGTGGTATCTAGTTCTTTATTTCTTGCCCTTTCATCTTTTCGTTTAACAGCTTTCCCTTCTGTGGTTATGGCTCTCTGCTTGCCTTGTACTCCTCTGTGATGCTGCCCTTTTTTTGCAAGTGATGGGGGGGGGAGATGAAAATAAATCCTTTTTGTGAAGCAAAGCAGGCAGAAATGGATTATATTTAAACCACAGATATTCTTCTTTCCTCTTACTGTGGCTTATGTGGGACATTTTCTGATGTGATGTGTGAAAAACACCTTATCCCTAGTCCTAGTGGATAAGGCATGCTATAAATGTATGGGCAGTCCTAAGTTATGTTCACTTTAAAACCAAGATGCAGTTAATCTCTGTGCTCTTACTAAATTTTCATTGTTTAGCCAGAAGGCTTTGAGAAACCCAGTCTTGTTGCCAGTCAAGTCAATTTGCATTGCCTTTAGCATGTCTAAGGTGCTGTAAGTATGTTTTTAAGCCGATGACAGCAAGGGAACTCCCTCTTCTCTAGTTTGTAATCAAATGCTGATATTTGATATTGCCCACGATACAGGACTTGTTAGACAGCGCTGTCTGCAGGAAGGATGCTTTGGAAAAATGTGTGTGTGAAGGATATGCATGAGGCCTGACAGGTAATCCAAGCCCCATTCACAGAGATGTTGCAGGGTTGACCAGCGTGACAAAGTGTAATCAAGAGGTCACTTAAGAACCTCAGCTTTTATAACAGATCCCTCGCAGGTTTCTTTTCTTTTTAATAGTTTTGTGCTACTGTCCATTTGTTCCTCTCTATTGCCTGCTTTATTATGCCTTTATGCTATAATGCGATTTCAGAACCTCTCACAGACTCGGAGCATGTTCCATGCTCCTTTTATATACTGTATATGTTATCATGTATTAGGTTCAGTAGCTGTTTAGAAGTTTAATTTACCATAAACTACACGTTTTTGGCTAATAATATAGCAA